TATAGTATACCCCCCCCCCCCCAAACCCCCTAATACTTCTAGTATAAGACCCTAACCCCCTAGTCTAAATAATAAGGCCCCCTATATTGGCACCCTCAAGCCCTGGAGCCCGGGAGCCGGGATCCTAACCCAATCCCCGCAAGCCTAAACCTAAACCGCCCCAAACCATGGGAATCAGCGGAACAGTAACATCATAAGGTTTGGAGGCTTAGGATGTCGGGCTTAGGGCTTAGGGTATAGCTAGTGGACTTCCTGCTTTTTGGTTTTCGGAGCTTCCTGGGTTAGGGCTAGGTGAAGGGCATTGGCTTCCGCGTGGAGAGTTCGAGGATCTGAAGCTAAGGGTGAACCCCACCCACAAAGCACTGTTGCCTCAAACCTTAAACCTTTCTTTTTAAGGTGCATGCGGCCATAGAGTGCAGGGTATTGAGGAGTATAAAGCAAAAATGTCCCAGTTACTTGGGCAGCAGGGTTTTCGGTGCTTACGACCCTGGGTGTCTTGACAAAAATCAGAATCTGCTAAGCACACAGTCTACAACATGTTGTTAAGCTGAGGTGTTCTCAGAGGCCAGCCCCAAACTTCAAGCTCACATCTCTCAACCCTGCCAGTGGCCTTTTGATCCTGTTTCACGAAAGGAAGCGCAGCTTGGAGGTTAACACAACTCACAGCCTGTTTGTTCTCACTGCTAACGTTACCCTGAACCCCAGAAGCCCCGACTGTCCCTAGTCCAAAAACCAACCGCGTATCCCCAGCACAAGCCTGGCCAGCACACAATCGTGAACCCCCGGGTCCAACCGTAGAGCCGAAGCACTGAAGCCCTCCCTCCAAGTCAAAATCTGAAACCCCAGTGTAGATTGAAAGCCCGCTAGCCACAAGCCCAGAACGCTAACCCTCGATTCTCAAGCCTTCAAGCTTGAAGTGTCCGAGAGCCTTCGTGATGTGAGGGCAATGAACCCCGAGGTTCCCCTGTTGTTGTCGTTGTAGTATATTCTACCCGATGAGGGGAAGCCAAACAAGCATGGCTTCGAGAAACTAGAACAACTGTGGTGGGGCATGCTTTGCGCCACACTCCGACTGCGACTTCGCTGCTTAGCAGATGTGATGTCTTGCATGCTCACACAATGCAGTCCACGGTTCTTGAATTCTTCAACATAGTTCTCGTTTGATGCTGGGTTTACCAGGTGTGTTGTGAAATTGATGTGACTTGGGCAACATGAGCTTATGCGAGAACATCCTACTCCTCCACAGCACATGCCGGTCTCAAAGCCCGAATGTGATGGCCGCGCGAAGCCGGAAAGGATCTAAATCATACCGACATTCAAAACGGAGGCGCAGGCGCTCTCCAACTTTTTCTTCCAGCTCTAGTTCATCTATTACGCGGCGCAAAGAGTTGGGCCGACGAGTCAGGCAACGGCTTGAGCAACATGTGCTGCAGCGACGTAAGGACAAGGCAAGCCGTGAGCTCGGCATTGCACAAACAAAGCTTTCCGATGCTCTTCTAGCCCTGCAACAAGAATGGGACGATCGGAAGATCCTGGAGAGTCAGCTGCGCGAGAGAACCGTCCTTTTGCAGCAGCGGAGCAGATTTTGTGTTTGTCCAGCAGTTGCGACGGTGGCTTAAGAGGCGTGAGACGCAATTAATGGCTATTTTCTTCCGGACAAAAAGTTCGCTGTGTAAGGATGAAGTTAGCTTGGTCCGTGATGAGCTCGGCATTGCTCAGACCAAGCTTTCCGATGCCCTTCTTGCCCTGCAGCAAGAATGGGACGATCGGAAGATCCTGGAGAGCCAATTAGCGGAGAGGGATGCCCCTGTGAGCAGGCCGAGCATAATTTTTGGGTTCTTCAGGGAATCAGGCAATTCAAATGGGCGTACGATATAATTACATGTCTTCTGGGTCAAGTTCGAGCGTAAGGACGACATTCGCCTCGTTCGCCTTGACCTCAGGGTGGCTCTGCATCGTGCCACAGAAAGCTTTCCCACTTTAGAAAACTAGTTTAGCAATGTTTAAGTTTCCCACATACTGCACTTAATGTCGATGTGCGAGGTTGCTGCACATGTGTTCTTCCGAGCAGAGAAGTTCGCTGCTTCAGGCTGAGATTGTCCAGATGATTGCTGTGAAAGACGAGCTCGCAAAGGCCAAGAAAACCCTGAAACAAGAATTGGAGGATCGGATGGGCCTGGAGAGCCGGTTGAAACATGCCGAGCTTGCCGTGGAAGAAGAACTGGCACGTCGGAAGAGTCTGGAAAACCTGTTGAACGAGAGAAAGGTCTTTTGGATTCAGCATAGCAAGCCAAGTTCTGTGTTAGACAAGTAGGCGGTGTCAAGCATTTGGTTAGCAAAGTTCATGGACCTGCGCGATATAGTTGCAGGCTTCTTTAATGGGAAAAGCTTGCAGGATGGGATTGTCCCTTGTTTGTCTTCTCCCAGCTGTGGGTCATCTACGTTGCAACGAGTCAGGGACATCGATGTCATACCCAAGCCGGCAAAGCGCCGGAGGTCTCGGGTCGTGTCTTCAAGTTCTGAGTCTTCCGGAAGGCGGAGGGCTGGCAAGGAAGTCAAGCATCAACTTGAGCAAAAGGCACTGTCTCTGGAGCTCGCCACAACAAGAGCGAAGCTTGCAGACACCGAGCTTGCCCTGAAAGAAGAGCTGCAGCATGGGAGGAGCCTGGTCATGGAATGTACCAAGCTTGAAGAGAAGTTGAGTATGGAAGAAGCAAGGCGGACAAGTATCGAAGCAGACAGTGAAGAAACCAGGAAGCGAGCGGACGATTTGGCGGCTTGACGCAATTTCCTTGTGGCCCTTTCGAAAAGCCGGAACATGCTCGAATCTCAAGAAGGGGGTGGTTGAAAAAGAATCATCCGTTTTGTACGAGCGGCTGTCGTGTTCACCTTCCGAAACGATCGTCGTCGCACAGTGAGAGATCGCGAACTCAGCAGGGTCACTTGGACAGGTGCATAGCATCATGGAATGATCACCACGATTCACCACCCTTGTGTTAAGTGCAGCTAAGGCAACCAGGCTGCAAGCCACAGTCTCTTACCTTGCGAAAGAACGAGAGCAAAAACAACTTGCCGAGAAGAAGCTTATTGATATTCAGCTGCAAAAACGTTCTGCGAGTCATGGGGCCTGTTGGCAGTACGAGATGGACGGCTATTGGCACCCTTTTTCGCCAGAGGGAAACGAACAGATGCAGCAAGCCTACTTGGCGTATTGTGAAGATCCGCAGAACAGCCGTTGTGCAAGCATTGTTGCCGGTGGTGTTGAACGCATCGTCGATTTTCTCGAGATGAAGCAGACAAACGCCGGCACGAGGAAAACACGACCGATCCATATCAATACCGGGGCGCCTATGCAGTGGGAGAGTGCCCCGGCGGCTTTGCTGAGGCAGCGGGATGACCTTAGGTCCTTCTATGTAGAGGTCAAAGATGCATCTCTGCTTGAAGTTTTCAACCGCCTTCTTTGGTCGACCGGCCATGCTTGGGACGTGTCCACAGGGTGCTCACACATGAAGACAGCCACTGTGAAATCTGTCCATCGGATTGAGAACTATCAACTTTGGCAACGATACCAAGCGAGGCTGCATACCATGAGGGAAGACCAGGCAAAGTACAATCTGCACATTACTCCTGCAGCGCTAGATCTTGATGGGCGCGAGGCGGTCATGGCCGACAGCCAGCACCGCTTGGACTGTGGAGCGCCCTTGGCCTGTGAGGTGGATGAGAAGATACTGCTGCATGGCACATCATGGAGCAATGCTGATTCCATTGTTATGCACGGCTTTGATCACAGGACTTGTCGACGTGGGATGTATGGCGATGGCGTCTACTTTGCAGGTGCTGCATGCAAAAGCCATCAATATTCATGTGGGGTTCACTCCGGCAAGGCGTCTTTGTGCAAGTGTGAAAGGACGTTGATTATCGCACGAGTGGCGCTTGGTGATGCATACTATGCATCTGGAACTCGATACGGAGAGAGGAGGCCTCCCAACAGGACTGGTGCAGCAGGCACACACGGTTCTGTTGTTGTCAATCCTGGAGCGGTCGTGGGGCATCACATGCCCGCCCAGGTTCATCAAGAGTTTGTTATCTTCGACCGTGAGCAGGCCTATCCTGCCTTCGTCGTGCAGTACTTGCCTTGACGCTTTGCAATCAGCTCCCCGCACGGCGAAAAGCGAGGGTACTGATGTTGCTGGCATGCTTTTCTGAGGACTTCATAAACCCAACATGGACTCCGAAGAATCGCACCTGTTGGTCGGCTGAATTTGAGCAAACCTCTGCACCGAAAGGCTGGGGCACTGGAACGTCCTTTCATGGTGATTGCAAGGCAGCCCTGAGTTCAATGGGACCATTGCTAGAATCTGTTAGAGCTCAAAGTGCACCAACAGCGTTTGTTTCTGGATCTCTACCACATCTGCCTGAACAGCACCTCAGTATCATTTGAGTCTGCCAGCTGCCACATCGTAATTCAAACAGGACTTACGTGGACGAAGGCCCTCTCTCTCTGTTTCAAAGAACGGAGTCTCACGAACATACAGAGGTCCATGCAAGCTTCATGTGATTTGGCGAAGAGCAGCGTAGGCAACAGCGAGGAGCCCCGTCAGCATCTGCGAGTGGAACGGGCTGGTCCCAAAACCCTGTTCTAACCGGTCACCTATACTAACCTTCAAGTAGCCCTTTCAAGGAACACTTACATGAACCTTAGTCTAAGTAGTAGATCCCCACATTGACCCGAGGCCAAGGGCTACGACTCGCGCCACCTCCCCGTCGATGCTGGTGACACCAAGGCAACCGAGCTTTCGGGGGGGGGGGGGGGGGGGGCTGTTGTTGTCAAGTAACAAGCCAAAAAGGGACTATAAGGTTAAGGCGGGTGCTGTCAAGTAACAACCCAAAAAGGGGCTATGACGATAAGGTTAAGGGGTTATGGCTCGAAATGTTTTTGGCTAAGAGATTTTTGAGAACGAGAAGGCAAGAAGGCCCTTCAGTTTGTGCCACGTTGGGTCCTTGCGTGTAGGGTTTAGGGTTTAGGG